GCCTGATTCGTTTCCATAGGGAGATGAGGAAGGCCAGGTCTCTAGAAGGTAAATATCATTGTTTCATATCCTTGCTATGTTAGGGATCAGTAAACTTCCTTTTGTTAACTGTTTGAAGACCTAAAGTTGTCTCATTTCATCCCAATATCAAACTTGAACCGACAGGGTACTGGTGTCAGGCTTACCCCTAATTCTTTTCTACCCAATAAACTCCAGTGCCTTCTTATCAAGGATAAAATCCTTTCTTTCTTTGGCTTTTAGAGCTCTTAATTATCTGGTCCCTCTCTACCTTTCTGGTTTCTTTACACCTCATTTCCATATCCCTCCTTCCTCGTACTCCATGATCTAGTGACATTGGCCTTCTTGCCGCTGTTCTTTCCATAGGACGCTTCAGTTCTCAGCTTACTCCACTTTCACTAGCTGTCCCCCCATGTCTTGAATTCTCTCCCTCCTCATCTCTGCCTCCTGGCTTCCTTCAAGTCTCAGCTAAAACCTCACTTTCTGCAAGAAGCCTTTCCCTATCCCCCTTAATGCCAGTGCCCACCCTCTGAGAGTGCTCTGTATGTATTTTGTTTGTATGTTATTATTTACTTGTGGTTTACCCCACTATTTGTGCCCAACCTGGGGCAGAGCATTCCAAGCTCATACAGGTCTGATCAGCCGCAGTCAGACACACTGTAACTCGACCCCAACGTGGTGATGTCATTTTGGTCCTTTTTGAGAACAAAGGACAACAACCAAACCCATTCAGATGGGAATTCTTTGACCACAGGGACTGTTTTTGCCTTTCTTTGTATCCCCAGCTCTTAATGCAGTGCCCAGTATATAACAGATGCTTAATAAATTGGCTGATTCATATACACATCCCTTTCCTCTTTCTTTGATCTGTTTAGAGATAGAGACCTAGTAGTAGTAGCTCTGGGTCAATTGATATGCACAGTTTCGTAACTCTTGGGCTCAGTTCCAAATTGCAGAGCAAAGGTTCTTAATTTGGGGTCGATGACTTGATTTTAAAAAATACTTTGATGATTCTATTTCAATATAAGTCATGGTTTCATTGCATTTCCAGTTAATTTCATTGTATTTCAACATAATTCATGGTTTCCTTTATAATGCTATGTAGTTTATACATGCATTTAAAACATGGTGTTGAGAAAGACTTGATAAGCTTCTCCAGATGGACTGCCCAAAGGGTCCATAACAAAGAAGTTAAGAACTCCTCCCTTCACTAAATTTGATGCCAGAGCAGCGCAGGTCTCCGGATCTCCGATTTTTCCAACTAATACATGCAAAATGACTTTGATTTCCATAGAGGTCTTTGCCAGGACCAAATGTTTAATTTTTCAATATTGGTTTGGAGATGTTGGCTACTAATGTATGAGACAATGTTTGAAAAAATCCTATGTAAACCATAAAGTACTATATAAATGTTAGCTATCATTATAATTGATATTACTAAGTTCCATTACTTAATTAGTTTTATTAAATAGTATGATGGCCTGTCTATTAGCTAGGATTTGCTCATATTTTTTAAAAACACTATCAATCAACCTTTCTGTCTCTGTCTTTCTGTCTCTCTCTGTGTCTCTGTCTCTCTCTGGGTGTGTCTCTGTCTCTCTGTCTCTCTCTGTCTCTGTGTCTCTGTCTCTGTCTCTGTGTTTGTGTGTCTCTGTCTCTCTCTGTCCCTGTCTCTCTCTCTCTGTCTCTCTGTGTCTCTGTCTCTCTGGCTCTCTCTCTCTGTCTCTCTCTCTGTCCCTGTCTCTCTCTGTCTCTGTCTCTCTGTGTCTCTCTCTCTCTCTGTCTACTTTGTCTAGCTGTATCTGTAGCTCTTGGCTGCCTCATCCTAACTCTTTCTTTGGCTCCTTTAGGTGCTCCTAGATAAGGCCATCTGCTCCAGCATCCGAAGGGTGAGACAGATTTTCCCTAAAAGGAGATGTGATCACCACAGCAGCCCTACTCATACCAACCAATAACTCTGTGGATGAGCTGCCACATTACTTATAGGTTCCCAGAGTTCTGTTACCTTTACCTGTAGTACTAAAATCTTATTGCCTAATGCAGTAAAATGATAGGTTAGAATTTTATTTATTTATTTATTTATTGATTCATTTATTTATTGATTCATTCATGTATAGCTTCAGTGCCTGCCATATGATCGATGGTGAAAGACACAAAGTATAGGCATGATTCCTTTACCCATGGAGTTTAAGCTTCTTGCTCTTCTCTCATAATGAGAAGCAGCAAAGCCTAGTAGACAAAGGGATGGTCTTGGAATCAGGAAACCTGGGCTTCAGTCCTGCCTTGGACACACTGGCTGTGTGACCCTGGACAAGGCTCTCATGGTCTTCAGCAATTCTCCGTGACAATAATAATAGCTGACTTTTTGGTAGCACTACAAATGTAGTACAAATGTTATCTCATTCAATTCTTCTAACAACCCTATGAAGTAGGAACAAAGGGAAGAAATAAGCTTTTATTAAGGGCCTACTGTGTGCCAGGCACGGTGCCAAAGGCTTTACAAATATTATTTCATTTGATCTTCACCACAGCCTTGGGAGTTAGGTGCTATTATTATCCCCATTTTACAGATGAGGAAACTGAGGCAAACAAGTTAAGTGATTTGGCTAGAGTCACAGAACTAGTAAGTATTTAAGGCTGAATTCCATCTCAGGCCTTCCTACTCCAAGTCCAGCACTACAGGGCCGAATATTTGCAGGTTTGCATTATTAGTTGGGAACATATAGTTCTTAACACCAATGAAATTGTAGGTCCTGACTATAAATAAATAACAGCTATGTCAATAATCTTGATTCTTCTTTTCTGCTTCCCCAGGGCAAACTCAACATATGTCCCAAACCAGAAAGAGGAGAAAAGAAAAGCCTTTACTGCCTCTCTACTAAGTCAAGGGGCTCTCTATTTCCCCATACATGCTGCTGCTCAGTCTTGGCTTGTTACCTGGTTTAGGGGAAGCAGGCCCAGTATTATCATACCCTATTGCCTGATGTCAACCTAGGAAAATGGCAGAGGTTGGCTACTGGGATCTCCCAGCCCACACATATACCCTGTCACTAAGACAACTTTAATTTGCCATAGGACCGCTTCTCCTTGGATGGAGGAGGGAACACCTGGGACAGGATAAAGAGGGGAGGCAGGGGGCCAACAGCAACAAGATGACACTGCTTTGTGGAACCATAACAAAACTGTTCCACTGAAATCTCCCCTTCATAGAAATTCCATTAACCTAGCTTTGTGATCCTGGGCATGTCACTTATCCCCAACTGCCTCACCAAAAAGAAAAAAAAAATTCCATTAACCTTTACAACCACAGCTGGCTGTTTTCCTGTCTACTATGGCCTTTTTGCTTTTGTTCACCTGTTTTTCCTCTATTCCCTCCACTGGGGGTTTGCACTTTGCATTTCTTTCTCATATCTACTCTTGGTGCATATTATAGCCTTTGACAACTACATTACACTAATAGTTGCACTTAGCATCTAAAAGTAAATCCTGGGGGCAGCTAGGTGGTGCAGTGGATAGAGTACCAGCCCTGGAGTCAGGAGGACCTGATTTCAAATCACATAACACTCACTAGCTGTGTGACCCTGGGCAAGTCACTTAACCTCATTGCCTAGCCAAAAAAAAAAAAAGTAAATCCTGTGTCAAATGAGATATTTGTAAAACACTTATCACAATGCCAGGTGTGTAATAGGTGCTTAATAAATACTTGGTTCCTTCTTTCTTCCTTCCTTCCTTCCTTTTTTCCTTTCTCTGGGTCATAGACCCCTTTGACAGTCTGGTGAAGCCTATGGACCTCTTCTCAGAATAATATTTTTAAATGCATACAATCAAATGCATAGGGTTAACAAGGAAACCAATTAAACTAAAACAAAGATGTCATTTTTTTCCTGTCCAATTTCACAGCCCCCTCCAAATCTATTCATGGACCTCCAAGGGATTAAGAACTCAGGTTAAGAGCCCTTGCTATAGGGAAAGGGGACCGCTCTAACCAGATTCCATCAAATTAATAACATTTGTGGTTCCAGACTTCAGATCTTCTTGACTCCTAGAGGCAGTCAGGTGTTGCAGTGGGTAAAGCTCTGGACCTGGAGTCAAAAAGACCTGAGTTCAAATCCTGCTTCAGATACTTCCTAGCTGTGTGACCCAGAGCAAGTTACTAACTTCCATCTGCCTCAGTTTATTCAACTGTAAAAAGGAATCATAATAGTACCACTTCACAGGATTGTTGTGAGGATCCATAAAATAGCACAGTTCTTGGCACACAGTAGGAGCTCTCCTTTCCTAGTCCAGCATTTTTTGAGCTACCGCTCAGTCATTTATTAAGCACCTACTATATGGTACTCATTGTGCTAGGTGATAAGAATACAAAAGCAAAAATGAAATAGTTCTTTCTCTTATGAAGTTTACATTATCATCTCTTAGAGAAGGACCAATAGATAGAGAGATGATAGATAGTGATATATATGCATATATGTATATATACATACACACACGTATATATGTTTGTGTGTATATACACACACATAAATGTATACAGAATTATTCTCTTCTCCCCTCCTCCCACTGTACTTCCCCCCTCCCCCACCTAATAATGAATGAATGACCTCTGAATCTGGAATCACATCCATGATGGAGGGATGAGTGGGAGCTCAGGGTTCAGGCAGGGACGGCACTGTTCACACCGAGCTTGCTTTGAAGGAAAGGTTGAACTGGTTCCACAGACATGTCCATAGTTTCCCCTCTGGTCTTCTCTCCCCTCTCCCCCTCCTCTCCCAGCTTCACTGGGTGCATATGTTGTGCTATTTGGACTAAGTGGAAAATGTTGCTGATTCAGATCATTGGACTGGTTAACCTCAGTGGATGCATTCATGGTTGACTCATTCACCTAAAATGTCACAACTCTCCAGTCATTTCCTGTTCATCTGTTTACAGATCAAAGAGAATAAAAACATCTATAAATCCTCAGCCCTGCCCCAGTCAGGCTGAGGAAGAAAAAAAGTTTCAGCTTAACAGACTTAGAGGAGGGGAATCTGTCAAGTGGTTTTAATATCACTGACAAGGCTGAAGGGCTTTGGGAAAGACACTACCCTGAACGCAGCAGGGCTAACGCTGGCTCCGTTGGTTTTGATTCCAAAACATAACGAGACACAATCTAGTCTGGTCGGAAGAAGCATCCCTGCCTTCCCCTTTGAGATCCTGCTGAAGCCCTCCGTGGCCCCTCCAGCCTCAACTGAGTTCACACTTCTCCTGGTTTGATGTGAGTCAATCTTCTCCTGACTTTTTGTGTTTCTTTTGACCCCTTCCCTCTACCTTTTATTATTTGAATTTTTTTTAGGCACTAACTCCTACTCGATCTACATTACACTTCCTTCCTTCATATCATGCTTTAAAAACCTTTGTGATACAATTGTTTCCAATTTCTTTCCCTTTCTAACCCATCCTCCACACAGTTGCCAACTAAATTTCCAAAAACATAGTTCTGACCATGCTACTCCCCTCCTCAAAAAATCTTCTGTGGCTCCCTACTGACTCAAGGATCAAATACATACCCCTCAGCCTGGCATTTGAAGCCCCACCCCAATCTGGCTCCCACTGACTTTTCTAGATTTATTTCACGTGGCTCCTATTCATGCTGTCTGTGTTCCAGCCAAGCTGGTCTCCTAGTCATTCCCTGACCTTGGCATTCCATTTTCCATCTCCATGCTTTCATACAGGCTGTCTCCTATGGTTAGGATTTATTTGCTCTTCCTTTATTTCCTTTTAGAATTTCCTTTAGAATCCTTAGCTGCCTTCTAAATTCTGCTCAGGGACCCCCTCCTATGGGAAGATACTCCCTAACCCACCCCAGTTGATTATGCTATCTCCCTCCTCAAATTTTATATAAATAAATAAATATATATATAGATATATACACACAAACACACATATACACATATATATGTACACAATGCATGTATGTACATGTATATATGTATATATGCGTGTGTATCTACACACACACATATATATATGATTATAGTTGCTTATTTTTGTATACATTGCCTTCTTCTTCCCACCCCCAGAAGAATGTAAGCTCCTGGGGCATGGGCTGGTCCACTTTTTGGCTTTGTTTCCCGAGTGCCCACAATAGTGCTTTATTTGTATTAGTCCTTAATAAATATTAAATCATTTTAGATGGCATCATATTCTTGTACAGTTGATTCTTTTCACTCAAGGGTAAGGCTTTATATTTATCTCCATTAAATTTCATCTTATTATATTTGGTCCATTATTCTATCCTCTAGAGATCTTTTTGAATATTGATCAAATATTTGATCTCTCTAAGCTTCGTCTCATTTATAAACTGATAAAAAAAATTCCATATGTTCTTTCACTCAAGTCTTTGATTTAAAAAACAAAACCAAACACTTTAAATAGCACAAAGCCCAAAACAGATTCTTGAAGTACTCCACTGGCGACCTCTCTCATTGACCCACTTTTGACTACCTTGCAGATTGGTTATTAGATTAGTTCTGAATTCACCTAGCTGTACTGTTGTCTAGCTCATATCTCTTGATCTTGTCTACATGGAGAGCACAAGGGACTTTATCAAATGCTTTGCTGAAATCTAGGTATACGATGTCTATGGCATTTCACGAATCTGCTTTCCAGTGCTTCTCAAAGTATGGTCCAGGGACCCTCAGAGGTCCTTTTGAGGAGACTCATTAAGTCAAAGCTATTTTAATAATAATACTAAGATGTGCTAATTTCTAATGTGGTAAATATAAATATATAATCATGTTTGGTACAATTAATATATAGTATAATTAATATGACATGATAAATATTTTATTTTAAAGTGTTATGTTATACTATGTGATAGGATATGATATATGGTACATGTAATACATTATATATGCTATAATCTGTATTACTATTATCATATTACTTATATTAATATAATATATTATATTACTATATCTATTTTATATTACATATACTATAATTATATAGAATATAATCATTATATAATAGATAATGTATTTATATATAAAACTCACATAAAAGTTCTTGGTGGGGGTGGTTCTCAATAATTTTTAAGAGTATAAAGGTGTCTTGAGACCAAAACATTTAAGAACCTCTACATTGGTTTAGTAACTCTGGAAGGAAATGGAATTGAGATTAATATTGCATGGCCTGTTTTTTGATAAAGACATGTTGGCTCAGAGTGATCAGGGCTCTGTCTGAGGCAGCTAGGTGGTGCAGTAGGTAGAGCACAGCACCTGGAATCAGGAAAACTTAAATTCAAACCTGACCTCAGACACTCACACGCTAGCTAAGTGCTTTGCAAGCCTCAAAGTCCTATATAAATGCTACTAATAACTATTATTACCCCTTCCAAATGATTATCAACAATGCCTTTAATATTAGTTCACTGGCCAATGGTTTGTAGACCCCACAATCTTCCTTTTTGATCGATAAAGTGACATTTATGTATTTGTATTAGCAGAGCTATCTGATAAAAATGGAGAGGGGAAAGTCTGGAGACCCAGAAAGGGAAAGCCAGTGAGGAGTCTCATGAGACTTCTCTAGGGAAAGTTTGAATTAGGGTAGAGGCATTGTAAATGGAAAGAATGAAATAAATGATTTTTCTTGCTATTCTTTTTAAATTTCTTTTCTAGTCTGTACATAAACACTAAAGAAGACAGGCATCTCCATATACAAAAGTAGAACAGAAGAAAAGAATTGTATATGAAGCTATAAATCTTTATTACT